CCCCCCCCCCCTTCCCTCCTCTCATCTTAGTACCCCTTTAAACTCTTAGCTGTTAAATCTACAGTCTCCCCTAAGCTATTTTCTTGAAATACCTTTGCCAAATGGAAATGTATGCAATTAATGACGTATCTACCCCACAGCAAATACACGCGAGACTCTTTAACCACAGCGACAGAGAATGGTGCACTGCAAATCATCAGCTTTTAAATTGCAACGACACAGGACTGATTCGTGGTCACTATATGTGGGTGAATGGCAGATCTGTTTTATCAAATGCAACCAAGGAGAACCAAGAAAGTAAGTCTATCAAGAAATATTCTTACAATCAAAACTACAGAAATAATGGAACCTACGCTACAATCAAAATAGTCGACACCTTGGAATAGCATCACAATCTTTGACCCTTTGTGTCTAAGGGGTGACTTTCATCTAATTTCTCACTACGAAATCACACCTGAATCACACACTATGGTCACAAGTAAAAGAAACATTACTCTTCTCCAAAATGACAAGTAAGTAGAAAAGAAGGTTTCTTGCCCTGTCTGGACCAGTCAATATTTATATGTTATTTGCCGGCTGGGAGGTCCGTATGGTGAAAAACTGTGACCGAGGTCTTGAAAATACTGCCCGAGGCCGTAAAATATTAATATGGTTTACTAAACAAGTGTCTTGTTTATCACTATGCTTTTCAAAGGTCATTTTAAGACCCACACTCTCCTGGAGCTTTACGAAGACAAGAGAAGACCTCGTCAAGTTGTCATGTTAGAGCATAAAAGTGGTTATGTTCTAGCTATAAACCAGGATGATGACACTGTCATTGCTAAGGTATGATGGCAGAAAATTTCCTGTTAATAGTTGCATGTAAGGGCTAAATCCAAAACCAAAAATCAAAAATCAAGAGTGTCCTTGTCTTAGACATTTTTTTATGGACTTATTGAATGAGCAAGAATCTTACTCGCTCACCCAGAAACTCAATGCGGAAAACTGGACAGATATTTCTATATGTCCCATTCTGAATTTCCTGTGCCATCATTAACCATAACTTGATAGAAATCTTGTGCTCATAATGTAATTGCTAAATGATAGCCACGCATAATCTTAAGACATAGACTGTCCGTTGAGTGGAGACTCTACATGAAAACTAGGGGTATTAGCCCTTTACACCCTAACATCAGTATGCATATTCTCCATACTGTTCTCTATACATTTCCAAAGGTGCTGACAAGGAGAATTTGTTTAATGATCAAGAGCACCTTGACATTGTTATCATTTCTTTATTCATATGACCTTACTTTTTCATTCAGGGGGGGATAATGTGAGGAGAAATTAGATGCTTCTCACTCTTAGGAGTTGAGAGTTAACAAGGGGTCCTAATGACTTTGGAATGCTAATATTATACTTCAGTCACATCCAGGTGTTTAGATGTAGGAATTTTTGAGGAAGAGGGCAGGGGGAAGAGGTGGGGAGGGTGCAAACAACTGTGCTTTATTTGAATTTAGGATTCATGTGACAGATTATGATTATTTATTTTAGAATATTACAGATAGAGTACTGTACTGAAAAGGAATGTTCTAGGTGATATGATATGCGCATTGACAACTCAGTCAAAGTCTGATGATGACCTTCTGAGTAAAAGCTAACCCCTTTAACTCTCAAGATCTGATTGTTAACTTTCCTATCTAGCTGCTACACATTTTCTTGTAAATCAGCTACGAGAATTTGCTGTGAGATTAAGATGAAAACTTCTACCTGATAAGTTTGAGTCTTTTCATTACCTGTTTACTGGATAATGTAGGAACATGATTGGGAGAAGTTGCATATTGATCACTTCTGGGAGATAAAGGGTTAATTTCCATTTCCCCAGCTGCTCTGACTCAGAGTCTGACTGCTCTTGTCCACAGGAACCCCCTAAACCTCCAAGCGAATACAAAATCCTTGATGAAGTTAAAGAAGACAGTCCTGAGATATTGTTTTACAAGACGGCTAGGGTACCTGGAAGTGAGCTGTATTACTTCACGTCTTTCCTCAAAGACAAGCAGCGCATCATCGGCTTTGATCCGGAAGGAAAACAAATCAACACCACCGAAGTACAACCGGATAAGCGGGAAAGTTGGTTTTCTATAGTGTAAAATTACAAGATTGAAATTGCAGTTTACGGTAGAAGAGATATTTTCTAAACAGTAAATTCTGGTAAGGAAATTGTCACTTAGGTTAAGCTAATGAAGTCATATGCAGTATCAGTTTGATAACAAAGTTTATGAAGTTTGGAAAAATGTTTTCATAGAATAGGAATTAAATCCACAGAAAGTATTGCAAAATTTATTTTCATAACGAGTATCACTTTCATGCCCAAGTAATCTCAAAACGATTTATTAGAGATGAATTTTTAAGAAAAGTACGGCGTTTAAGCTAATAGTGAATTTAGATTCATAATGAATTTAATACATGTCATATCCTCTTAAAGGTTTCATAATATTTCACTAGCATTTCTAGGAGATATTTCATTTTTCTACTGATTTTCCCAAGTAAAAGGTAACGAGACAATTTTAAAAATATAAAAAACCTCCCATAAGTTTAAGACCTGCGTGCAGCAAAATGGTTGTGAACATGTTGCTAACAATCTTGAATAAATATTTCTTTGAAAATTAATTTGTGGTTTGCTTTGTATTGTTATCCATTGAATTAAACATTGTAGGGCAGACAGACAATAAGGAGAAGAACTTAATGAGATCTTAGGAGTGAAAGGGTTAATTACGCACTGTTAATTGTCTTAATTTAAGTTAGGTAAACACTTGCTTATGTACGATTGTTCGACATTTGTAAAGATACAGCTGTTTTATTAGTATTTCATTTGTTCGGTTTGCATTTTGTCCACGTTATGTGTATCTCCGGTTTACGGTCATTTCGTTCCATGGTCAGATCGTTCCAAGTCAGATCATTCCGCTCAATAGTCAGTGAACAGGCAAGGGCCAATTCGAAAAGAAAACACAACACGATGTCTCAGCAAATGTTTTTACTATAACGTTAGAAAAAAGTAAATTCCTACAAGAGCGAAAAATAATAATTATAACACACAAAAACTACCTTGGTAGGTATGTAGGTAAGACTTTATTAAATGAGGGTAACATTCGACAGTACTAAAACTGATAACTAATGGCCCTCAAAAAACAAACAAACAAACAAACTAATAGCAATAGTTGCAACAATATTAATAGTAATTGAAATAGTATATAAGCCTTTGTAAATCGCAAAATAATATTATAAAATGTGGTTATAGACAGATTAAAATTTACATGAATAATTGCGTAAGAATTTGATTATTCAAAATTATTTTAAGATGGGAACGCTTAAAGTTTTTTGACACTAGTACTCCGTTTGAGGTCCACACTTAGTTTGTTACACTCCTTTGTTGCTCTCACAGAAAACGTTCGACCACCTTCCTTACTTCTCTTATATCGAGGGTAACTTAAGTTAAAATTAAAGAAACGGGTTGATCTATTATGTGTCAGAGCTTCTGATATGTAAGTCATTTATATATTCAGGGGTATTGCCATTCAGCCTTTTGTAGGTTAAAGTGCATCGATTTACATATAATTCAGCATAAAAGGGAACCACTTTAAGTTAAATAGGCCGACAGAAGGTGTTGTTTCGTTTTAAGGACGAATTAAATCTCCAAAAGTCTTATTTAATATTTAGGCGTATTAAAGATGAAAACAGCTGTCCAAGTTATGTAACGAAACTATTCATTAAGAACTCGGGCCGCTATAATAGAACAAGTCGTTATGGAAGGTACAACTCGGTCTCTCCCTCCTACAATAGAGAAACAGAAGGGGGTAGCTCCTTTCAAGTCAGTGGAGCCAAACTCTGGAACAGCATTCCTTTTGATATTTGCAAGAAATAGTCTATTTGCACTTTTAAATTTTCTGTTTGAAAATATTTTTTATCTAGAAATACTCAGCTTAATTTTATTAATTAGTGTCTTAACGCCTTTTAAATCCCAGTTTCCCTCCTTATGCACATATCTCTTCTCGTTTTTAAAATTCTATATATATTTTGCGTATTTTTAAATTCTAAAGTTTTCAAATATTTTAAAATTTTAATGATATCCTTATTTTTTAATATCCTGGACGTATCTTAGTAATTTAATACTAATTTTAGATAGAGGGCCGCTAGTTTATCAATTATACCGTTATGTGCCACCCTCTTTAAAATAAAGTTCTTACTTACTTACTTACTTACTATATCTGAGACGGAAGAGAGAGACTAAGTCTAGTTGCGTCACTGCATAAGTAAAGGCTAAGGAATGCTTTCATTCCACTGGACTCGTATAGAAGAACTTTCATGGGAAGAATCAATGGGCTCAGAAATCCTAGCGGATCGAAGAGAGTGCTAACAGTGAAAACGATGCCGCGTTTGGTCGGTGGTTGCTAGTTGGTACCACTTTAAACTGGAAGGTGTCCGAATTTGCGTCCCAATGAAGTCCAAGCGCACGTCCAATAGGAAGATCGTCCAAGACTAGATTTAACTCATGATTCGCTCGCTCCTTTTCGGGAATCATGGCCAGAAACCTGCAGCTGTTACTGGAGCCGGAATTTTGTAAGGTGGAATCCGCCCTTCTTCATTGGCTGAATCAACTGTTGTGCTAGCCGGATTGAACGCCTCTCGTTCGGAACGGACTTTAAAACATCGTCGACGTAAAAGTTTCTGCACATTGTGTGAGTTACTTCTGGGTCAAATTGATTCTCTTTGTCAGTTGCGGTTTGATACATTGCCTTGTTTGCGCAGCAAGGTGACGACGTGGCGCCAAAGATATGGACGAGCATCAGGTACTCATCAAGGGGGTCGTTTAAACTCCCACTCCACCAAAGGAATCTCAGTGCATCGGCGTCCTTGGGGAGAACCTTGACCTGATGGAACATGGCTTCTAAGCCAGCAGTAAATGCAATTTCTTCCTCGCGAAAACGGATAAGGACACCAATAAGACTGTTAGCGAGATCTGGCCCTTGATACACCTGGTCGATAAGGGAAACACCATTAAACCTTGCAGCTACATCAAATACCACACGACTTTTGTTAGGTTTGTTCACGTTAAAAACGGGGTGATGTGGTAGGTACAAGGTGACTCCCCTTTTCCTGGCTGCTTTTTCGGGCGTCAACTTTCTTGCGTAGCCCCTATTTACGTACTCATTAACCGGAACGGTCCAGCCACCCGGAACGGACTCGTACTTCTGAACAGCTAACAACGCTGGTCCTTCAAGGAACTGCATCAGGCGGGCCATTTTCGTTGGCTCGTCTAGGGCCTTTGAGTTAACCATCTGATGAAACCTTAAACGAAAACCGGATAGTTCTCAGGCGAACCATCAAACTCGAGTACTCGCACGAGTGGTGAACCGCAATCGGCGTTCACTTTCTCCACAGTTGAGGCAATCATTGCGAGAAGCTTTTCACTTGTAGGCAAAGGGGCAGGTGGAGGACACCAAACATTGGCAAAGCCAGTTGAGGCTGTAGTACCCGTATAGTCCCGACCAGCGGTGTTAAACCTAGAAGCTGAGTAGTGTGAAGTTACCATGGGCTGAGAACTATAAACACTTCTTGTAATAGAGGGGTTCGCAATGTTAGATGCCCCTGAAGACATGGCAGGTCTGTCTTGGAATGGAGAAACGCGCGAAGTCGCGAGAGGAAATCTGGTAGGCGTAACTGGAATGACGTCTGTAGAAGAAGACGTGGGAACTCGCATGGACCCAATTGGGCGAGTGTAAACATGCGTGGAGTCCACGAAAGGGAGAGACCATGAAGGGAAGTTGTCGGGCTGTGATGTCACGGTTTGGGACGGAAGGAATGGAAGGAGTGTGCAGGCAATAGGAAGTAACGTGTTGTCTCGAGTAGTAAGAGTCGAATTCGCGTGACCTCGAGTGTCAACGGTGGGAAACGTGTTAACTCGTGTGGGAAGTGACGGATCCCCGTAAGCTCGTTCGTGAGCTGCAGGAAACGTGTAAACTCGCCTAGGCGTGACTGAAGGCGTGGAGGCCTGCGTGGATACAGCCGGGACCACGAATGACGAGGTGACAGTAGTAATTTCAGGAGTCAGTTCTAGAGCGTTGAGACCACGACTAGGTGATAAATTTCCATTTCACAAAAGTTGTGAGAACTCGGCTTCTGCAAATTTAGCTTAAAGCTCAGCCAGTTCGGTCTTTTCTTTTGCTTTGGAAATGTCTCTGTCAGCTTCGAGCTTTGCCAACTCTAATTGCTGTTTCAACTCAAACTGTTTCTGGTTCATTTCCATTTCAAGACGTTTTATTTCAATCTCCATTGATCTTTTCCTTTTCAATTCCGTTTGCTTTTCCATTAAAGCAGCTTTTGCCGCCGCCACCTTCGTGTTGTGAAGTCTTTCCCCTGCTTCGCTTAACTTTGAAGCGCGACTGCTTACGGTGCACACAGATGGTGCAGGTTAAAATGTGTGGCTGCAGCGATAGTGAATTCCCTAATCCGTTGATCGAAGTGGTGCTTCCGTAATTCCTGAGGGGCGTACTGATCATTCACTTCGTGAATCTCCAGACTATTTTCGTCCACGAGACTTCGATAATGCGCGGTGCTTTCTTGATAGTTGTTCCATGTCTTATCCAAACTAGCTTGAAGAGATTCTGCGCTCGCCAGATTCCCGTAATCGACGAGAAGAGGATCAATTTGCCGACAAGCTCATGTCATTGCTGAAACATATCCTGCCAGTGACTTTCGTAAGCCGAATAAAGCTTCTGGTAACGCTTCTTCTCGAAATGAACTCGCCATTTTCTTCCGAGAGCTTGAGCGGGTATTCGACGCTGTCCTTGGTTGCGCCATACTTTACTCCGTCATTTTGGATTTACAAATGTACAGGCAAGAGCCAATTCGAAGAAAACACAACACGATGCCTTAGCAAATGTTTTTACTATAACGTTAGAAAAAAGGAAATTCCTACAAGAGCGAAAACATAATAATTACATCACAGACAAACTACCTAAAGGCAACTACAAAACGAAATTAAAGAAAACGCTGAAAATGAGACTGCTTACCAAATGCTGAGGATAACTAGTGTTGGTGGTTGGAGACAACAAACTATAACCAAATTTACATACAGCACGTAACAAAGGAG